GTCTAACAGGTAATACTGGCTCAATTCCGGCAAATAAACCAATGCCCAGTCACCAGCCACTGCACCAACATCCTAGGAGTCTGCCTGCAGCCTTACAAGGATAGCTAGATCTGTAGCAACCTAGGCAAAGAGGGTTATTGCCAAAGCCAACTTTGGCCCAGCTGCAGTCCAACATGAAGTTTAATGTGATACCTCACACACCTGCCACCCCACATTTTCCAAAAGGAAAACTGCCTGTGGCTAAAAGTGCTCCTTGTGGAGTAACCTGTGACCACAGGGTTTCTCCACCCTAATGAAGAAGATGCACTTCAGTAGCCTACCAAGTGATGCCAACACCAATGACAGAGAACAGAAGCAATTTTCTGTGCAATAACACCACTTCCTTTTGGTCAGAGACATCATTTACAAATAGTAACCTCTGTGGATATCTCAAAAATGGTGCCTTTGAAGTTACCCTTGATCTTTGATACTCGGCCATAGTCAGGTCTGAAAACCACACTTAAATTGAGCTTTGTAAAATATACTGGGTTGAAGCATCCCACCTTTCATCTTCATGTCTCCAAATGGAAAGACCTAAAAGCATATAGGTTTGCTCATTTCAACACACAGCAAGCAGTGGGCCAGAAAACATTTAACTTGTTTGAAATGTAAGCCATTATCCAAGCCACAGCATATGGCCACACACTTCTCAACTCCTACAACCAAGCAAAAATGCAATTGCTGTCCAAGTGCGCACAGGCTCTGAATAGGAAACGGCAGTGGTTTCTGAAGCCCATAAGGCCAGAAGATGCTGCCAGACTTGAGAAGAACCAAAGGACAAAAGAGTGGTAGAAACAGGAGGGCATATTCTGAAATGAAAGTAAAGTGTGATCCTCCAGGGCAGAAAATAGCTGCTCCTGTTTATTTTAAGCTGCTTTCCATCACAGGGTGCCTCCTACGGGAAGCCTACCTTCTTTCACGTTTGGGAGAATAGTCAAACCTGATGCATGCCTACAGGGAAAAACTAGGAAATAACATTGTAAAGCATTTCAGTAGAACTAGGGCAGATGCCCAAAAAGTCTTATTTTAGACATGTTCTTAAATTCTTCCTTGCTTCTCTTACTCAGTTAGCATTTATTGTCTGCCCCAAACTGTAAGTTCCTTAGGCACCTACAGCTTATTAAGGGTCATAAAGAGTCACATTCTGTACTAGAAACCAGCAGTCCTGCTTGACCTTGAGCACGTCACTCAACCTCTCTGGGCTGCCAGTAGGCTATACGTAAAATTCTCTACTTCCATTTCCTTCACAGTGAGTACAGCACAAAAGTACTTTAAGAACCTTGATATTCTATTAACAATAATGCACACATGATTATTTTATTAAATATTATTTATTTCAGATGAATTTGATTGTCTCTCTAAACAGGCAAGACACGCTAGCAGACAAGGATTGGGGGTTTATCGTTCTATATTATCCCGACTGCTAAACCTAATAAAACATTCCTTCATTAATTTGTTCATCAATAATTATTTATGTGTCAGGCACTGTACTATGCATTGGGGTTAAGACGAGAAGCAAAACCAGGATCCCTGTATCCCATGCTACTTCCAATAAATACTTATTGATTCATATACTGTAACATTTTCAGTGACACCCAGCTTCCCCCAGACATTCCACTCTCCTTGCTCATTTCCTCCCTCCCTATCCTATAGATCAGCAGTCCCCAACCTTTTTGGCACCAGGGACAGGTGTGGTGAAAGACAATTTTTCCATGGATGGGGGTATGAGGAGGTAGATTTCAGTATGAAACTGGTCCACCTCAGATCATCAGGCATTTGATTTTCGTAAGGAGTGAGCAACCTAGATCCCTCACACACACAATTCATAATACGGTTTGGGCTCCTATGAGAATCCAATGACACAGCTGATCTGACAGGAGGCGGAGCTCAGGCAGTAATGCTGATGCAGCTCACCTCTACAGAATACCCAAGGTAGCCTCAACCACTTAGTGCCAAAATATGAGAGCTCCCAACAAACCATTCTTACGGTATTGATGAGTAAGTGACAAGAGATGTTAGGGGCAATTTCAGCAAACTATAAGGAGAGACACTGAAGCAAGCATGGTAGGCCATTAACTAGTGCTTGGGTGAGCATGTTAGTAGCAGGGGCAACTCTAAAGAGGATGGGGAGATTTTGAATTCAGACAGAATTCAGACAGAAAAATGGGTAGAGAAATCCCCACATACATTTACTGTGAGGACAAAATGACAGGACAAATACATATTGAAGACTGTTTATTGATTTGTCAAAGATGAATTGTTACTGAACTCATGGACAAGGCAGAGGATTCAAGATCAGCCAGCATCAATCCTGCCCTTGTAGGGCTTCCAGTCTAGAAAGGGCAATATTGCTGTGTGTGGGTATCCCCTTATAAGAACGAATGTAAATTTCAAAATGGAAGTAACTAGTGCTGGGAAATTGATGGATTTAAGTCATTGACACTATGTAAGGCTGATCTTTTGATCTTTCTCCCACATGCCTCTTTGTTCTGGGAACAGGTCTTGAGAAACAACTGGGAAAAGGAAATTGACAAACCCTTTCTTCTACTCTGGCTAGAGGAAAGCTAACTCTCTCTTGCTACTATGTCTTAACCTTTTCTCAAGATCTCGTGTTTATCTCCCTGAGTCACCTGGGCTGGCAAGATACACATCTACTAAGCATTTTGTATTTTTAGTGGCTTCTTCTAATTGACCCCAAGGTAATCATTCCCTGACTTTGTCTGCCCTCAGCTTTCATGTATATCTATCCATTCAAGCACACATATGCTTATAAATTCAGGCTCTGCGTGTTCTGTACCTAGTCATGCCCAGTTGCACTGGAAGGTCTTTTACCTCTGATAATGATGATAACACCAAAATGAAACACTTCTATAGAACTTACTACGTCCCCAGAAAATTTGGTAGGTACTATACTTAAAGCAGTTGATTTAACCTTTGCAACAGTCCTTTGAGAAAGGTACTACTTGCTTCCCTCATTTATGGATGAGAACACAGAGAGGTCACATTTATTGATGAGAACACAGAGAGGTCAAGTAACTCGCTCAAAGTCGCACAGATAGTAAGAGTGAGACCAAGATCCAAACTTTGGCAGTCTGCTTCTAGAATCCATGTTCTTAAACACTATATTGCTTCCCTGTCTCCTCAGGCAATAAAGCTCAGAAATATATTTCCAGACCCTCAGGCATTTATTTCAAAACTATTTATTGAAGCCTTATATGTTAAACTCGACTACATGTTCTTAATTTACTGAGCATTCATACTTCTTTTAAAAATCTAACCAAGAGACCAAAATGAGGGAGAGAGTACTTGAAACAAATGCACTCAATTCTGTGTGCATGGAATGGGTTCGTGCCCCCCAATCTGACTCCATGTGTGAGCAAACAAGACACATAAATCTGAGTAGTGTGGCTGTTCATGTAAACAATTCAGAACCTTATCATTTCTCTCTGAACTGACTCCAATTCATCAAAAATGTAGGAGCGGGTTATATATGACACCCTCCATTAACTGAAACACACCAATAAATTTCCAAAATGTAGGACTCAGCACCAAAAAGAAAAAAATGGGTAGAGAAATCCCCACATACATTGTGGAACTCCGTGCAGCCTGTGTCTCCCCTGTGCAGTCTTGAATCATGCATAATGCAACACCGCAACTGCTAACAGCAGGCGCGCACCAGATAATTTACACTTGTTTTTATGGACACGAGGAACTGATCTTTGAAGCTGTCCCTAATGAGATTCCGCTTGGCCCTAACAGCATCCTGAGAGAGTGTTCCGGTTTTCTACTTGGCATCCGGTGCATATTTATAATGCAGAATACAGACTCATTTAAATTGCGCATGTGGATTTTGGTGTCTTCTCTATTTTAAAGAAAGATTTTCATATACTAAGGAGCACTGACTCCTCAATTACTAAACCATACTTTACCTAAACAATGTCACTGCCAGCCCTACAGGTACTTATCAAAGAGGTAGGTCCATCAAAGCGCCTTTACCTGCAGGGCAAAAAGCTCCTCCAGCTCCAACCCTGCACTCAAGTCCAGAGACTCAATTAGGTCTTCAGCCAAAAGGCATCTCCAGAAAGTCTAATTATACAACACCTTCCTTCGTAGACACAGCCACAGGGAAAGTTAGAGAGAAAACCTGAAGTCAGTCATCTAAATTAAAAACTTCCTGCCCCAAAAGTGCTTGCAATACAGACTTCTCTTTCTTAGTATCTCCCCTCTTTTAACTTCTAGGCCATGTAAAATTTTCTTAAGCCTGGCACTTTACAGCAGGATCTTTTCCTGATCATTTGCTTTTCAAGGGGTTTGCAGTTTAGTCACCCATAATTAGAACTCCATTGCATACTTACTTTGAATTTCCTTTGTTTTACCTTCAAGTCAATGTTTTTAAGAAAGGTTTTCAATCACTGTCATACCAATACTGTTATGACGGTGTTATCTGTATTTAACCCAAATCACAGATTTTTGTCAAAAAAGTTGTTATGTAAAAATGTTAAGTGTTTACTATTAAAAAAAAAATGTAAAGTCATTAAACATCAGAGTACAGAATAAAAATTGGTTCGCCTTATTCAAAATGCATGATTCCCATGATGAAAGATGACCCGTTTTCAGGTCTTCATTTCAAGTAAACTCCACATATTAGGAGCAGTTGTCGGGTTCCAGGTAAGTGGGCTGAAATATATCTTAATTAATTTCACGCTTCTGACTGATAATTGTTGACTCCAAATATGATCAATAAGTGAGCATTTTATAAGGAGTTAAAACAATATACTTTTCAATGCCTCCATTTTTAAATTAAAGAACAATATAGAAAACCCAAATCTCTAGGGTCAAATTGAAAGTGGAAGCTTTGATATTTTTTCCTGTGTTAGAATTGAGAGTTTACTATTGTCAAAGCAAAAGTCAACTGAAGGCAGAGATGACAGCATTAATGTATGAGTATCAGAAATACTCACTCTGAGCTTCATCCAGCTCCATCCTGAAAAAAACACGGAAGACTTACATAAGTTACCCTTTTTAAAGCCAAGTACAACCTCAAGTCTACATACCTGCTCCCAAAATGAATGAGTGATTGCAAGGCAGCACTCACTTCCTGGGGAAGCACATGTTAATCCCTCGAATCCTTGCAAACTCAGCTTTCATTCATTCATTCATTCATTCAACAGGTGTTTATATAGTCTCCAGAACATGCCTAGCATTGTGATAGGTGTTGTGAATACAGACAGCAAAAAATAAATAAAAAGAAAAAGATAAGGTCACTGCCCTCATAGAGCTTATATCCTAGTGGAAGACAGACATTTCACAAACAATTCAAGAATATATTTATGATAAGTACAGCCAAAGGACAGTACCACTCACAGGTTTGGGAGTATGTATAAGGGGGACACCTAATCCACAGAGAAGACAGGGGCTCCCTAAAAATGTGACAAAGTGAGAGAGAGAAAATAGTGTTTAGGGAAGAAGACCGTCCACATTCTTTTGTGACTCAAAGTTTATGGCCACGAATCAGCCTGTTGCTCTCTGGCACGTCTCAGCATCTCTCTACTTGAAAAAACAAAAAATACAAGAGGTGTGCCTAGAAAGCTGGACTTATAATGCATCTTTCCTTCGATGTCAGCACTAAATCCAAACGGTTTTGAAGACCTTGGGAAAAATTCGGTGGACAGATCACCAAAGTTGGCACTAACTCTTGCCAAAAGTCTGGCTGGCACCAATGCACAGACTAAATTGGCCATAAAAACCTCACTGTAGTCTTGTTCCTCTCAAAGGAAATCATTTTGTGATCAACAATGAGGCTTACCCAGAGGCCAGTCTTAGGGGGAGGCCTAGAATTTTGAGCTTAACTCAATTGCACGGTTTAGGGCAAGAGTTTCACGTTTCAGATGTGCAGTCAAGTAATCTGATCCCATCAGAGTTTTAATGGCTCCTAAAAAATTCAAAGTGTTAAATTCTTTTTCCCAGCCTCCCCGAGAGCAATCAGAGGGTGCTTTTCTCCAGCTCCCAATCTCCTCCCTCCAGTTTCTTATTCTCATACTCAAACAGTTACTAAGTCACTAATTTAATACATTTACTACTCATGTCTTAATCCCAAAGTCTGATTATAATCTGTGTTCTAAAGTAGTGCCCAAGCACTTATCCTGTCCCCTTTGAAAAACACTGACAGAGAAGACATACAAGGATAATGAAAGTGGAATATTTAGAAACGGTGCTTTATTTCAGGGCCGACACTATTATCATGAACCCCTATAAACCTGAGAACATTTTCGCCCAAGCAAATTCCACAACTCCAGTAAAAGACACATCACTGAGAGTTACACTGTCCCAGGCAGCAGGCAGGGAGCTAAGTGTTTATTAAGTCTCTGCCCTTGGCTATCAGGTTAACAGAGACTCCATCCCTCCCTCCCTGTGTCTCCCCTGGGAGACAGCAAAACCGTAAAACTTCTTGACAAGAATAAAACAGACACACCAAACTTAAAGGCATGAAAAATGTTATAGTGATGATGGACTATGTGTCACTATTAAAACTGCAGAAGCTCATGTTAATGTTTTAGAGGCAATAATGATACATGATATTGTTAACAATAATAGCCACCATACATGGAGCATTTAGACACTGCACGAAGTGCTGTACTGAGCACTAAGCATTATCTTCTGTAACCCTCACCATTACTTTTTGAAGCACATATGATTATGATCCCTGCTATAAAGATAAGACACTAGTAGTAGTTCTGGGTATACTTTTTTTTCTTTTTGGAACTTCTCAAATGACTTCATTTTTAAATACTTTAATTGTGCCCAGATTTCTGCTGAGCAACAGTCACTCTATTCTCAAATGCTTCCCTCTAAAATACAAACCTTCATTCTTTCCCTCTCTCTCTCTTTCATGTTCTTTCGTTTACCGCTTTATGAAGATATTAAGCTCAACCATGGTTCCTGTAGCCTGTGGTACAGCACCCTGCAAAACAGTGCTATCTGTTTACAACATGGCACGACCCTCCCTGCAGAGTGTGAGGCCAGGACTAAAATCCACTAATGACTAGAAAGCTCATTTTAATTCTATACTTGACAAAATAAACACCTCATAAAGACAGGCAGGCAGAAGCTACTTCTCACTCTGGACTGCTTTGTTTTAATCATCTTTAAAAAAGAGGAAGTGGCTGAAGGGAACAGGCCCTAGCACACAAAAAACACAATTATGGCATAAAGAGATTGAAATAAAAAGCAAAACCCCTTATTTAAAGTTAAATTATTTCTTCCCTCCAATGGGGAGTACCTGTCACTAATGGTCTGTATTAGACCATTGCTGAATTGCAAAGGTTCTTTCAGTGCAAATCCTGGCTGCATTAGTGGGATCTCACTGAGCCCATCTGAAAAACCAGGGCACTTGATTTCCCTAAAACCAGCTCCCAAAAGGGCTCATTTTTTTTGTTGTTGTTCTCTTTTGTCCACAGAAAATGAAGCTCCACTTACATGTTGGAGGAAATATTTCAAAACATTCCCTTTTTTCTCAAAGTGCAGAATTTATGGTAACAGATAATTAACAACAAATGACAAACAATCTGAGCGGTAAAGGTCCCAGTTTGGTTGCCAAGATGATGGGATCAAATTCCAAGATAAACAGTGGAGCGTGCCGACAGCCATTAACATCGTGGTGGGGTGGAGATGGAGAGATGCGAAACAGGGGAGCTATCCGCCACCACCAAGGGACACAACATGGAGCAAACAGACTCCCATGGGATTATTATTTCCCTTCCGAATTCTCAGGAGGATCAGTTGCAAGAGGGGCTAGAACAGGACTCACACACTACTGTACAAAACAGGATACCCAAGCCTTTACATGTATTTTACATGAAGAAAGCATTAGACTCTTTGAACTGCATTATGGAAGAATTAAGAATTAATATCCTTTAGGAGTCAACACCTCCTAGCCTGTTTGTTCTTCCCAAAGACTCACCCCTCCCCATTCTTTTCTCTAAGTTTATTGAGTCAAGATAGGTTTCAGTGCTACCAGCTGTGCCCAAAATGTAGGAGTGAAGAACAAAGTGAAAACAAGTTAACCTGTAAAAGTCAGAATTTGAGCACAACATATGGTAAGTCTCCTAGATACTAACAGATGGCAAACCTTGGGAAATCACAACTTCAGATATTCTTACATTTCTCGAAAGCCAGTTCAGAGTTCACTATTTGTCAAATGATTTTTTAAAAAATATTGAAATACAAGCCTTAAAAGTTTTGAATTACCCCAAAAATCGTTGCTTCTCAGAGATCAACATAGGTCTGAGTGTATCAAAAATTCAAAGTATCAAAGTATCAAAAATTGCTATCCTGATCCTTTCATATGTTAGATTCATTGGTATATTGAGTCAGCATATGTACCCTAGAAAGCCAAGGTGCAATTTTGTCTCAACAGAGGAACTTTGTTGACTGAAGTCCAGGGATGCTGACCCGCTCCCGGTGCTAAAGTCAAGCCCAAGGGCGGGACATCATAACTGCCAAGGAAGAGTTATGATCTCACAAATATATCTGCTATATATTCCCTCCTACTTTCTTCCTCTCTCCTTCACAAATACCCCAATTTCTCCTCTTCTTTCCTCTATAAAATTCATCTTCCCATTATATTCCCTGCCTACCTGCCTTGGGCTGTTCGAGATGCTATAACAAAATAACAAAATAGCATAGACTGGGTAGCTTATAAACGACACGCATTTATCTCTCACAGTTCTGGAGATTGGAAAGTCCATGATCAAGGCAGATTCAATGTCTGCTGATGGCCCAATTCCCAGTTCATAGGCAGGCATCTTTTCACCGTAACCTCATATGAAAGAAGAACAAGGGGTTACTCTGGGGCCTCTTTTATAAGGGCTCCATCCTCATGAGAAAATCACCTCTGCAAGGCCACACCTCCTAATACCATCACCTTTGGAGTTAGGATTTTAACATATGCATTCTGGAGGGGCACAAATATTCAAACCATAGCACTATCCAAGCAGAACCAGTACATAAAAGTCGTATCATTCTTAAACATAGAATGTATTAAATAAAAGGTGCTTAGAGCAATAGGTACAATTTTATGATTAAAAAATCGAGTACAGTTTGATAGGCTTCGGTAGTTATCTTTGAAATCTCCAGACAAAGCAAAATAAAATAAACTGGAGAAAAATTTTCCAGAACTGACTCAGGACTTACACAGAGCTAGTAAAATGCCTGTGTCATAGAAGAAGGCTAACTCTTTCAGGAAATTAGGGAAACATGCTGAGCTTGCTTAGCTGGTGGGAGACTTAACTTTTTTCTTGATTTCAGTTTAAAGTCTTTGTTCAAAACATATTTTAAGCTAAGTGTACAAATATGTACAAGGTTTGAAACTTGGTCTTTGGCCCAAATACCTAAAGCCAAATACCACAAGTAAGCCACTTTTCTTAGCCAATCAGTATAAATGCCAAAAAAGCCCATAGCAAGACAGGAAAGGATATTTTTCCAATCCAAGAATTATCAAATCTTTGAGCTGGAAGGTTTCAGAGACAGTCTGTACAAAGACATGTGAGTTTCAGTAGAGCCCATGTTTTGATGTAGAGTCCCGCAGTCTTTTAAGGAAGCCACTACCAGCAGAGGAACTTCGGTAATGGTCTAATTCTCACTTAGAATTTTAAAGATCAATACTATCAAATGTGAAAAAGTTATCTGTTCCCTCTATTCCATGGTGATGTTAACTTTCTTTATCTTTTTGGTTTTTTTTTTTAAACTAGTTTCAACAGCTCTGAGGCTTAATAAAAACTTGCACAAAAATGTAAATCAACTAGAGAAGCTTATATTCTTGATGTGTGGTAAAGAAGAAAAAAATTTTTAAAATCTGCAAAAATGCATTTTCTTATTTGCATATATTTTGTCCCTTCCACAGGGGAAGAAATTGAATAAAACCAATCTTCAAAGCAAAATAGAACAAAAATATGCAGACCCAAATACTGCAAGAGCCAATAAATC